TTGAAGGGGTGAACTGTGTCTCACGACCACCCTCCCCTGAAGAGAGTATCCACTAAGGTCTCTCCCACACGCAGAAGAGTCTTAAAAACTCTTTGCTCAGTATAGCTTCCAGGTTGTCCTGAACTTCTCATCTAGAGATGGTCCAAGGGCTTTGGCTGCCAGCTGGCCGTGGTGTCGATGATGCGAAGAACATGGTAGCAACAAATAACTACGGCCACGTCATGTTACATTGTTTTATAAACTTTCCCTTTCCCTTTCTGTCAGCATTATTTTTGGAGGCTTTCCTCTCTAGCGGTTATAAACTAAGATGTAACTGCTTGACCTGGGCGGCCACTTGGATCAATTGAGGTCTCCTCCCAAGAAAAATTTGGAATGCCCTGCATTTTGTCTGCTTGACTTAACCATAATTTATTTAAACCCAGCTTCTTGAAGTTTATGTATCTCAATTGGCCCATTCTGTGGGATGCAAGCCATTGTGTGTTTTCACTCTGCTTTTGGTTTTGTAAGCAAGTATGTTGAACAGTTAGATTAATCATTCTGTAAACTTGAGCCCTGCCTCTGTTAGGAACCAATGTTTTTAACTATGATTGAAATCCGTTGCTTTGAGTATTTAGGAAGAACAGCATACTTTTTACATATATTTATGTTTTTATTGCTATTTTACTCCTGAATTCTGAGGAGTGAATTTCCTTTTCCTTTCTTCCTTTGTTTGGTTGCCTTGGATTTCATTCCATTACATTTTTATTTCAGAATTTTTCTGAATTTGCTTTATTCTTTTTCTTTGGCGAGTACTCTGCCTATCTTCATATGCTGTAGAAACATAGGCACCAGCATTTTCGTGGTAATATGCACTAGGATTTGTGTGAAGAAACTGGCTGCTGGAGGGTGGGTAAAGTTGACATATCACACATAGTGTGGCTGTTTCTTTCTACAGCAAATATTAATGATGGTTGGTTTACACAGCAAATGCTTCATTCAAGTGTTAATATAGGTGTGCTGAGGCTCCCAAAACATATGTGTTGTAATTTGAAAATAGGAAATGAGGAATAGCTGGCTAGAGCATTGGGCTGCTCTACAGAAGGTCGATCCATATATGCAATGGGAAGCACAAAATGACTTTGACCCACGTCCTGGCTTCTCAGCTTTAAAATAGCCTTGGTTGTGCAAATGCAGTGGGGGGGGGCGGAAATGCACAGCCCAGATGAGCGTGCTATGTTTATACAGCCTGGCTGTGATCAAGCTAAAACAAATTAAGAAAAAAAAAAGAAAGAAAATACCTTTTTATTTGAGTGTTTACTAGGTATTTATTCAATTCAATTAAATAAAGACTTGGGAATTTAAATATTACATTTTCCCAGTTTCATTGAAGTATAATTGACAAAAGTAATATATATTCAAGGTGTATAATGTGATGCTTTGAAATATGTATATATTGTGTAGTGATTACTATAATGAAACTAATCAACATGTCAATCACCACACATAATTACAATTTTGTGTGTTTAATGAGGTCATTTGAGATTTACTCTTTTAGAAACTTTTAAGTAAATAATATTGTAGTATTAACTTTAGCACCATGCTGTATATTATATCCCAAAAATGTGTTCATCTTACAACTGAAAGTTTGTACCCTCTGACCAACATCTCCTCATGTCCCTCACCTCCCTGCCTTGGGCAACTACTATCCTACTCTCTGCTTTTATGAGTGGGTCTATTCTGGATTCCACAGATAAATGAGCTCAGGCCGTATTTGTCTTTCTGTGTTTGGCTTATCTCACTTAGCATAATATCCTCCAGGTTTATTTCTGTTGTGGCAAATGGTAAGATTTCCTTCTCTTTTATGGTTGAATAATATTCCATTTTATGTGTATGCCACATTTTTAAAAATCCATCTGTTGATGAACACTCGGGTCGCTTACGTATTACTTTAAAAAAAGTAAAATGTTTGCCAACATTTCCTTTATTTTTAAATGGGATGACAAATGTGCATTTAAAGCATATATAAGAAAAACTTTTAAAGTTCACTCTACATGTTGACTACTTGTATCGTGCAGACATTGCAGTAACCCTGAAGTGGCCCAGGCACAGCCTTGGTTCAAGGTCCTGCTTCACTGTGATTTCTGTTTAGTGTAGTTCTCAAAAGGAAACTGAAATGCATAGTCCAGTCACGAATATCAGAGTAGATACTAAAGATATTATGAACACAGCATATATCACATAGCAAATTTTACTGATTCCCCACTGTTCCTCCCACAAAACCCATTCCCAAAGACTTCTCATTCTCCCTTGTTCCTCAGACCCATCCACATATAGTATACTCCCAAGCCTATTCCAAGACTGTCCAGGGAGACAGCCAGGGTTTTGGGATGCACTTTGGTGTGAGGGTGAGGTCTCAAAGGGAAGTCAACGATGCTGTCTTTTAAGAAGCTATGTTTTGCAGAATAGGATTAACAAGCTTGAACCAAGAGCTAAATTTGGTAGGACATGGAGCAGATTCTGGAAACTCAGTGTTGGGAGGATGACAGCTGGGCTTTGGGTGAACCTGGAGGCATGACTCATCCAGAGGCCACTCTTGCTTCACAGTTTCCATGTGTGACCAGGTTGTTTGCTTACCAGAAGGTCCTTCACTGCCCCTCCAGGTCACCTGTCAAAGGCACAGCAGTGTCTGGTCTTGTACCTGGCATTTCCTGGGGTGCCTCTCGGGGAGACTCTGCAGTGCTAGACCTCCTGACCTCTCTCTTCATGGTGACAGATCCTCCTCTGCAGTCTCTTCAACTCCAATTCTGCCTTCTCCAACTCTGAAGGGCCCTAATTCCTTCTTAGATTTCCCTGATACTGAGAAATTTGTTGATGAGCCCAGGTAAACCTAAGGGTGAACTGCTTCCTTGGGTTCAGACCTCCCAATTTAAGGATTCGAGTGTATCCAGCAGAGTGGGCTTGTCTGTAGTGTGAGCCTCTGGCTGTCTTCTCTTAACTAAGGTTGGAATCAGCCACCAAGCAATAGGCCCAATGACAGCACCTTGAAACGGCAGCTCTTGCTCTCGCGTGGGGGCCTGACCCCTGCTGTGGAACTCAGGGCATCAGCAGTGAAGTTAACTTCGGATTCACTCTGAGGGGGCCTGGCACATGGTGGCCAGTGTGGAGGTGGTCGGCCTCTCTCATTGACAAGTTCGGATCACTCGGTGGGGATTTCAGTCTTGTCCACCTGCATTAGCTTTCTACTGCTGCTGTAACATATTACCCAAACCTAGCAGCCTGAAACAACACAAAGTTATTAACTTACGGTTCTGGAGGTCAGAAGTCCTAAATGAGCAGCAGGGCTGCCTTCTTCCTGGAGATCCTCAGAGAAGATTGTTTCCCTGTCTTTTCCAGCTTCAAAAGGCTGCTCATAGTTTTTGGTCCAAGTTCCTGCTTCACTGTGACTTCTGCTTCTGATCTCACACCGCCCTCACTTGCACCCTCCTACCTCCCTCTTATAAGAACATTTGTGATGACATTGGGCCCACCAAGATCATCTTCCCATCTCAAAACCCTTAACTTAGTCACAGCTGTAAAGTCCCATAATGTTGACAAGTTCCGGAGACCATCCAATCAGGACACAGTGTTGTGGGGTGATGACTCAGTGTGCTAGTCTGTTTTTACATGGCTCATAAAGACATACCTGAGACTGGGTGGTTTATAAAGAAAAAGAGGTTTGATGGACTCACAGTTCCACGTGGCTGAAAATACTTCCTCACAATCATGGCGGAATGCAAAAAGGATGTCTTACATGTGGCAGGCAAGAGAGAAAATGAGAACCAAGGGAAAGGGGTTTCCCCTTATAAAACTGTCAGATCTCATGAGACTTATTCACTACCATGACAACAGTATAGGGGAAACCACCCCCATGATTCAATTATCTTTCATCAGGTTTCTCCCACAGGACATGGGAATTATGGTAGCTACAATTCAAGATGAGATTTGAGTGAGGACACAGCCAAACCATATCACTCAGTCTGCCACACACCCTTCTTCAGCTTCCTGTGGGCTGTGTAATGAGAGGTCCTTAACACCGCTGAGCCTAATCATTTGCAAAACCAAAGCCCCTTCACCTGCGTGCCTCTAATTGTGTGAGGTTTTCAGGATCTATTTTCCATCATTCGCAGTAGAGTCTCCCATGTGCGGGCTACAGGAAAGTAACCATCTTCTTTAGAAGCAAAACAACAACATGGGCATTTTTGTTGTCCTAAATTCTCAGCAGTTATCTCAGAAATACTCTTTATGTTAGGACATTGAGTCTTCTAATTAAGGATCTTTTCAAGTTCATCACTGAACAATGCTCAGAGCTGCTGTCACAGCCAAGTTGGCTCTCAAGCTCCAGATAATGATCTAAGAATTTCTTTCAGCTCTGGGAAGCTCAGGAATTAGTCTGGTGCCTAAATTTACATAACAATGTTTCACTGAGAATAGTTCAACAACTAATAATATGTACCCTGCCATGTGAGAGCAATGTTTTCTAAAAATGTTCTGGAGCCAAGCCTTTGAGAGGCTGTTGCCTTCTAACTTATTCTTTGCAATTCTTAAAATACTTATCCAGTGAATTATGTGGCTAGAGCTATGTAGGTATTGCCTATCTCAGGAAACTTGATGACCTCCGCTATACACTCTTTAAAGCCTTCCGTGAGTCCCTATCATTCTCACATTCTACTCACCACCACTCTTGCAGATTTCTGTTAGGATGGGTCAGCCAAGGTTCATATGTCTTTTCTTCCTGGGTAGCTGTTCTATCGTTTGAAAATATTTTCAGTTTCTGATGCAGCATTATTTCCTGTATAGGCAACATGACCTCACCTATCTCCTGTCTCAGTGTGTTAGCCATATTTCTGACACACAATCCAGGCTTAGGGGGATGCGCTGAGATAAGAGTGTCTAAAATAATTCTCCATGCATTCCCTTTCATGATAATCTCACAGAAAGAGATGTTGGTCACAGAGAAGTTAGTTTCAACAACTCAAGTGAGCTCATTCTCCTAACCACTTTTTATTTTCTGAGGACTTTGAGTTATTCACTATTAACATTATCCAATAGCACTCAAACATCTACTTCAAACAGCCATTATTTCAAACTTGAATGAATCCCGTCAGAGATTTTAATTACTCTCTGATAGAGACTCATATTGCATCAGGATTCCTAAATCCATGTTCTCTCTAGCATCTTGATCTCTGGCTCTGTATCCACCAAAAATTTGGAGGATCCATCTTCCATGTCTCTCAAGATCAGGGACCTAGAGAGGTAACCCATTTCTTCACCTGGTCAAGACTTCGTGCCATTGCTCACTAATTCACAGTCCCCTGCAAGAGTAACACCAGTGAAGGTTAATAAGCATAATGACCAAGCACTCATTTAACTCAGGAACTAAATACATCTTTCTTCTTACAGATACCTCGTATAATTTGTAAATGAATATCTTAAGGGCTTTCTCCGTAGACAGTGGAAAGAGGAGGAAATAGCTTCTCTCCATAAACACTGCATAAGGGTGTCAGAATCAGGTAAAGTTAACCTTTAATAACTCATCCTCTCTCCTAGCCTGCCCTACTGGTTTTTGTTTTGTTTTTCTTTATCCTTAGTTGAATGGTGATATTTTCTTTCCTTCTAGTGTGATTAAGGATCTTAGTCCTTATTTTTGTGGATTCTGGATTCTCTCTTACTGAGATCTTTACTGCCTTCAAATCATGAAATAATTTTCTTATATATTTTCTTTCTAATGTAACTTTCTTGATTTAAAATTTAGACATTTAATTCAAGTAGAATTTATTTTTCTGTGTGGTGTGAGGACTGAATCACATTTCTCCAACATCACTTTCATTGACTTTGTGAAATCCTGAATTTTTTGCAAGATTTGCAATGTTCACTAAAATAGGTTTGCATTAGATTTACATTTTTATTTTGAACAGTGTATAACATTCAGCTATCAGCTACGAGCCAACAGCGGCAGAGATATTTATGTAATTGGGGGATGGGTGACTTCAAAAAGAGAACAATATCAAAGAGCATGTTTAGTTATTTTGGGGTTATGGTGGATATCTTCCTTCTTGATGTAATCTTTCAAGTATATACTTAGGAAAGGAAGACCCTGCACAATATTGTATTTAGTGATGGACAGGTGAAATTTGTAAAGTGAAATGTGTGTTACTAACATGTGAAGTTCCAAACTCACTCAGTTTTTTTGTGGGGAAACCAGTACTTCTGTGGCAATGTGAATGCCATGAATCTTTCCCAATATTTACAGCCCAGGAGACAAGCATGTTACACCATATGCTTATAAGATTTTCTAAAATCTCTCTTATTCAATGTCTTCCTGTGGGGGAGAGGAAATGAGGGCTTTGAAACCTGAGGCAATAAAATGAATCACATAGATAGAAACATATGTCTTGGCAGATAATAAACTTTGGTTTATATACTTTTTGTTAAAGAAATATGTTAGCATTCCAGCTACTGTGTTTTTTATTCAATCAGTAAATACCAATTGAGTATACCTCCCTAGCACCAATTTGCAAAGCTGAACGGAGGACAGCATTCAGAGGCAAATAAAAAATAATTAACATTTTGAAGGGTTCTTTATCCACAAAGACCTTTTCCTACATATGAAAACAAAACACATTTATAAAGCAGTAAATTACTATACAAGAAAATAAATGGTATCAGAGTGCTGAATCGCCATAGGGAGGATTGCAAAGAGCAGCTTTGCAGAGGAGGGGAAAAGTCAGTGAGCTGGAAAGGACGAGGATGCACAGGAAAGGGAGGAGAGGATATTTTAGGGGGAAAAGCCTGAACAAAGCAAGCGGGCAGAAGCTCACAGGTGTCATCTTTTTATTTGATTTTGTTTTTGAAAAGTCAAATGTGAGGTAAAAATTCCCTATTTTGCTACCATAGTATTTTTCTGGGATGCATGAAAAATTACGCTTTTTTTGTTCTATGAATATTAATGAATATCTATGAAAATTCCTTTTTTCCCCACTTTCTATAAAGAGTTCTACAAACAGAAGCTGTTTGATGCGGTTCTTGGTGTAATTGATTCTCACATGCTTTATTTTTAGTGCCTTTTACAGTTTTTCAGAGAAAGAAAATTATTTTGGAAAGACTCAAAATATCATCTGAAAGACACAGTTCTTAGAAATCTAAAATAGTTGTGGACCATTCCAAAAAGTAGTTAATCTCTGTGCATATTATTTGACAGGCTAGTCTATTGAATATCAGGTATTAGTAAAAGAGGCTTAAACAGAAAGTTAAAGAGTCAAAACACGAAGATGGATTTGCCTAAAAGCAATGATAAAGTCAGCAGTCCTCATGAAAGACTTCATGTTTATTCACCACGCAAAACGCTTTGGGTACCAGAGTTGGTCTCATACCTCCATCAGCAAAGATTCTTTCGGTTTTGAGTTGCATGCTTTCTTTGCTCTTTGCTCTAAGTGATTTTCTACCTTGGTAATGTAGCGTTTTCTCACTTTCAGAGCTCCTGGCAGCTAAGCAAACCCTTTGCAACACCCTGGCTTTTATATTCTCCCGTCCTCCTTTCCCCCTCCCTAGCCCCAGCATCTCCCCATCTACACTTTGTCTCCTTTCTCTGCCTGCATGCCAATTCTAATTCTTGGAGCTGCTTCACAATTAACCTACAGCAACTTTCTCCATCCCCAACTCCTTTTAGAGAGTCTCTTGAGGGAAAAAAGTGCTCTGCAAAGCATTCCGGACTCAACAGCACTGCACTGCGGCCCTTCTTTTGTCCTGGTTTATGCTGTTAGGCTGAAATGATCAAGCAGGCATGAATAATTCTTTTTCTTGGGTGTCCTAGAAACACTTAAGGTGCCGTGTAATTCATGCAAAATTACCATGAGAGAATTCTGTCTCTCCTGAGCTGTTTTGTCCTGTAACCGGGGGGACACGTCAGTTCCAGGAATGGCCCTGTGCCTCACAAGTTCACCATCAGTTCTTCCTTTGGAAGTACCTGCTTTATTGACTTTTCTAAAACCAGCAGCCTCGTATTATTTTTCCCCTCGAGTAGAATATCCAGACACAAAGGTTACTGGTAGAAGCTTAGAGTTGATTGCATAGGGCTTGTCGCTGAGATACATACACAACCAGAGTCCATGGGTATTAATCAGATGACTGCAGGCCTGGGTCTTTATTTCAAAATTTAAACCTTTTGTGAGGTTTGGCCTGCTGAGTTTGGGTTTTAAAATTCTCCCCTCAAACCAAATTGAAGCCGCAATGTGCTGGCAATTACCACAGCCTCTCTTAACCTTGTCAGAAAGGTTCCAGGGAAAATAAAATGTATAGTAGACATTCTCAGAGCCTTAATTAGAAATGTAGACCATTCATGTTTTTCTTATTCAGAAGGAGTGACTAGAAAATCAAAAATACTTGCTTTGGTCCACAAGAAAAAGTTTTCAGTTTAAGCTGTCCCAAAACACATTGTAATCTTGGGATTTTTTTTTTCCATGAGCCACAAGATGCTTTATAAGTGAATTCCAAATAATGAGATGATAAATGAAATGTTCCTGTGCTCTGTTCCACCATTCTTCTCTGATTCACAGGGACCAATCTACAAAAAAGATGGAGGGAGGGGTTGGAGCTGTCATTTCTTTTCCAGTCTTCGGTCTCTTCCATATTGCTATCTGTACACTTTCATTCAAGAGCTCCTATTTCTCTGAAGCGCAGGCCCTCTCAGCTAAAATTGTTCTCTATGCTTCTTCATCACTGTCACCCACTGACCCCCGAGTCAATCCATCTACACATCGAGCACTTCAAAACCAGATCTATTATCTTCCTCTCTGTCTAATCCTGAATAACAATACCAAGTAGCACATGCCTCTAGAAATCTAGGCTTATATCTTTAACTCCAACCATCTTTCACTTTGCATTATATCACTTACCACATCCTAGATCTGGTTATCATCAAATGAAAAATTTGCCTCAATCCACAAATACTCAAAGTGTCTCTTTGCTTAAAAATAAAATCTGTCCCTTGTTTCTCTAGCTATCATTTAGACTTTACCTTGCATCCAAATGTCCTTAATAGTGTTCTATATCTGCTCTGTTCCTCTCACTACTCCTCATTCATCCCAAAACCACTTGTGAAATGGAATCCGCTTCTTTGCTAAAAATGTTCTCACTGGAGTAACTCAATGGCCCAATTCAAAATACCAGCAGATTTGGTTTGGGGACCATTCTAAAGCACTTTACACAGCAGAACCTTTCCCCCTCTCTTGAGTACATGACAGGATATTTATTTCTCTAGATATCTCTCTCGGCTATTTCTCCTTGCCTCCTTCACAGGCTCTCCTTAAATTTTGCTTTCTTTGGGGTTTCATCTTAGATTTTCTCCATTTTATTTTCCATCAGTCCTACTCTGAACGATCTACCATAATCCCAATTTTCAGCTAATTTATATTTGTATGTCAATCACTTTCAAATGTATAGTCTTAGCCTCTTCTTCAAGTTTCAGACTAACTATGATGACCATCTAGATATCTCTCTTTGTCCCACCAAGGCCTCAATCTCAATATGCTTGATACAGTTTGGTTCTATGTCCCCACCCAAATCTCATCTCTAATTGTAATTCCCACATGTGAGGGACGGACTTGGTGGGAGGTGATTGGATCACGGGGGCAGGTTCCCCCATGCTGTTCTCATGATAGTGAGTGACTTCTCACAAGATCTGATGGTTCAAAAGTGTGTAGCAATTTCTCTCTCTCTCCCGCCACCATGTAAGACATGCTTGCTTCCCCTTTGCCTTCCCCCATGATTGTAAGTGTCCGAAGGCCTCTCCAGCCATTGGAAACTGTGTCAATTAAACCTCTTTTCTTTATAAATTACCTAGTCTCACTGTTCTTTATAGCAGTGTGAAAATAGACTAAAACAACACTCAAAACAGAATTCATCATTTTTCTTCAAAATGTCCTCATGTTTCTATGTGCTCTGGTGGCTTAGGGGTCATGGCCACTGACAAAATTAGAAAAATAGGGTTATTTTTACTTCTCCATATTTTTTAATTATTACCTCCAAGAAATATAAGGCACTTAATATGATGCCTGGATCTTAATTAATTTTAACCATTGACATTAAAAACAAATTTCTAATCTATAACTTTTTTAAGAAAATAAGATTAATTGGGAGTGCCTAAAGTTAAATACACAGCATGTTTACTAAACTGGCAATTTAATACTAAATGTATCTACCACAGATAGCAAATAATATGTGTGATGTTAATATTAACTTAAATCTTTCCTCTTTAAAGGAAGTAGTGAAACATTATAATCTAGAGGTTGACTTTCTTCCAGTATGTGCTTTCTGCAAAATACCTCCATTATTTTATTGTCTGAAATTGACTTCAGATTATCTGTGCTATGCTGCATTTGCTTTATGCCTCTGTCTGTTTCATAATGTCTTCACCAATATATGGTGGTGAGGAAGGAGGATTTTATAGTCTGCTTAGTTTTCCTCTGGAAAACTTTTAGGCTAAACATTGTCATTAGTGATCTGAAAGGGGCTTCTTCAAAATGTATAATAAAAGTCCTGAATTCCAAAGAGTAATGCGGCTCAGAGAGGAGGGAACGTGCATCGTTAATGGAGTCATCAGCCAGGTGCAATGGCTTTCTCCACAGACAGGAAAAATTTCAGGGGAAAAGTAGAAAAAGAAGAGATAGGCATCATTTATCAAGAGCTGAAGGTAGATGAGGCAGAGCAAGCAAGTAAGAACTGAAAAATTTAAAAGTAAAGATTAACAAGTAGCAGGAACACTTGATTGCTAGCAAACCATAAAGCTCATCAGAGCTAAAACTCCTGCAGGATTTGGGTGACGAAACTGAGGCCCAGAGGGGTTCTAAGGCTGTGATCCTTAGCAAACCAGGGTGAGCTGCTCACTGCCTTTCTAGTGGGGTACAATATTATATGAATGTAAAAAAAGAAGACATTCCTCAAGGAATATTAAACCCTCAAATGCACTTGAACTGTGACAAGGTGATGCCATGGTGACCAATACAGAACTGTATTTTTACAGGACATTCCTTTACAGAAACTGGCAAATTTCGAACTTCCAAACAAGTTTCCCCCACACATGGGGCTTATTAGAGGCCCCGCACTTCCCTTGGCAGGGAGACAAGTCACATTTGAATACTAACATGAGCTGCTTTCCATAATGTATGCGGAGTGGACTTCACCCATGTGTGGGAATGACATCAGCCATACATTAGCCTGGCTGCAGAGATTCAGAACAGTTGCATGCCAGAAAGATTAAAAGAGTGAAATTGTTGAATGTCAAGGAAAAACAGACAATCTCATCTACAGCAGCTAACAGAGGGCTCGTGAACTTGCCTCAAATTGAGTAGAGTCTTAGCTAGAATATTTATCTACATATTTTCAGTAGACATAAAGAAGAAATATTGAGAAATACAACCTTCATTTTCTCTGTTGAACGGGTCCCATAACAATATAGTTTTAAAGCCCTGCTACTTTCTATATCTTCTCAGGACCCCAAAAGGTGCACCACAGAGGAAACTGAGTTGAACACCTTCTTCCACATTATTCCTAGATATGAAACCTTCACAGAACTCACCCTTTCCAGCTAATAAGTAGAGATGAAAATATTCATTCTTTTGTTCAAAAGAATGAAAGAACACTCCAGAATCTCAGCATTTAAAAAAAAATGATTTGTCAACGTTTCATGAAATAAAATGTTCTCTGCCATTTCTTTGCACTGGCAACATTCAATCTTTTTTTTTTTTTTTGATTATGGTAGCAGCTCTGATACCTGTGTACATGCAGTTGGAAGCCAAGAGTCTGAAACTCTTGTCAACAAGGAAGAAGATAAATTGACCAGACTGCTCCCATTCTATCTGTGAGAAATACTCATGCAAAAAACATCACAATTCAATGAAACACAAAGACTCCTTCTTCCTCCCTAAACATGTTATGTGCCCTTAGGGCAAAGAGAATTTCACAAGATTTCTAACAAGAAAAAAAAGAAAAAGGAGGATGTGGAATTTTTAATGTTTTCAGTCTGGAAAGAGCAATAAATTTAGAATTAGAAAACCAGTTCAAAATAAGTCTGACTTATTGGCTGTATGACCTTGTATTATACAAAGTCCATCGCCTCTCAGGTGTAGTTTCCTCACCCAGTTCAGTGGGATGAATACACTGGATCATCTTTGTGGCAGCTTCCAGCACTTAGTTTCTGTGGTGCTAAGGTACCCAACACTGTATTTCATAGCACCGGGAAAACTATCTTTCCTTATTTTGTGCAACATGAAGACCCAAAGGGACAACCTCCTACTTTGTTATAAACTGAATGCTTGTGTCCTCCTGAAATGTAGATGTTGACTCCCTAACCCCCAATGTGATTATGTTTGGAGGCAGAACTTAAGAGGGAGTAATTAAGGTCAAATGAGGTAACAGGGTAAGCCCTAATCCTGTAAGGCTGGTGCCTAGATAATAAGAGGATGAGAGATCAGAGCTTTCTGATGCCCCGTCTCTCTCCACCAGGTGAGGAGACCATAGGAAAGTGACCATTTGTATCCCAAGAAGAGAGCCCTCACCAGCTGCTGGCACTTTGATCTTGGACTTCCAAGATCCAGAACTCTGAAAAAATTGATTTCTTCTGTTTAAGCCACCCAGTCTATGACATTGTG